GTGGGCCGTCAAGGCACACAGGGATGTGGGCAGCTGGCGCTCAACCATCATCAACGTGGCCAGCCTTGTACGTGATAGGCACAGTAAGAAGGGAGCTGCAAAAACAAAGAAAATGGGAGGCTTCCCAATGTTAGTTGATGAAAACATAATCAACAAAATGATATAACAGATATATTGTGTCTCTTATTGGTTTTACTGTTGGGTTGACCCATGTCAAATGCGTTGCATTGATTGTATAAAGGTGAGATTCCAGTGGTTTTGGATATATATTGACTTTACAAGCAAAACTGTTTCATTGGTGGATCGGCTCATCTTAAGCATGCTTCGTAGTCTGCAATAGAGCCAAAACAGAGGTGAGCATTTTTTTTTTCTCTCACCCGTGACCCAACCCGCCCAATTTTGTTTTTGTGCCACCTGCCCGACCGAAGAATTTTAATTTCCACCTCAAGACGACCCCAGCCCCACGCCCGACCCGCCCGCCACCCGAAAAAGGTCCTCACCCGGACCCMCCCGCMCCCKTGAGAACATCATTACCCGCCTGCACCCAAGACCTATTTTTTTGTCGTCAACACCCGCTTGTGCCGATGCAGCCCTGCCCACGACAACTCCACCGGTGTCGCAACCTCTCTGCCTTGCATTGCTTGCCAGTGTCACTCCGTCATGGTGTCACGCAGCGGTAAGGCCAAGTAAGGGATGGGCAGAACTCTGGTTGGCGAAATGGCAGTGGGAAGAGTATGCATGGCAGATGTGTGATAATACTAATAATAACAAGAATGAAATATGTCGCGGATGTTGCTATCCTCTGCCAGTAATTTGATAAAAACAATCTTGTGAGACTGATCAAAACAGAAAAAAACAAAAAAAAGTTGGGGGCGGGCTTCCGAAATCGCCAAGTTTGCTAACCAGGGACGAAGTTCAAAGAGGACGGATCTAGCCGCCTACTGTGGCTAGAACCTCTCTCCTTTTTTTAGAGAAAAACTGGGCGAGGGGCTGAACTGTTGGAGTACGCTCTTTGTTTTTTTTTTTTGGCCCCAATGTAACAAGCGACCCTGCGTGACTGTACCGAGACCCGCTTTTTTTCGTCTCTCTCAACCTCGAGCCTGTGCACTGCACAAATGGACCCAAGGCCTTGTT